TCGATTATTTTCGATTTTTCAAAAATAATGGAACAATAGATTTTAAATAAAATTCCAAAAGAAAATATATTTATTGTTTAATCGCATTTTTTAATTAATCGATTATTTTCTATTTGTCAAAGATATAATCAATTTTAAAGGAAATACCAAAAACATAATTGATTATTTGAAAATAATCGTTAATTTGGTTATTTTTTTTTTGTAAAATGGGTTCATCGTAGAATCGGCTTCGCAATTAATCTATTATTTTTGATTAAACGTTTATTTTCGAATTACCGATTATTTTCGAATAACCGAATATTTTTAAAATTCAAAGATAATCTAATAATCGATTTTAAAGGAAATTAAATAGAAGGTCTACAAAAACATACCACATATTCCTCAAACCAAAATAAGTCGATTTAAGTAAAATTACCTTAGTACAAAAGTTACTTCGTTTGGGCTCCAGAGGGCCTTGAAGTTACAATTTTTAAATCGTTTTTCCCATATAAATTTTAAACGGTATATGCTATTTTGCTGAAATTTGGTATAGTGGTAGAGTTTTATGTGGCAAAAAAATGGTATTATAGTTTTGTCCGATAATAATACATAGGCGTAGAACTTGATTTTTAAATAATTGCACCTTTAAAAACTCTACGCCAATGGAAGAAAAGGAGTTTGAGTATGAAATTTAGATTGCACAACTCATTTACTTTAAAAAAGGTACTCGTGATAAGACTCAATTACTCTCATGGTTTTCGCTAAATTTCTGTTTTAATAATTTAGAGTGTATAGGTTTCACAAAAATATTTATTTACAACATAATCAAAATAGAGATTTTACAAAAATTGTTTAAAATGTTCACCATTTTCACGCATACAAAGATTTATACGTCGAAGAAAATTAAAATGTATCCTTTCCATAACTTCTTCATCATCCCTAAGATTGTTTATTGCATCTTGAATACGTTGCCAGAGTTGTTCCTCATTTTCTACAGGTTCCCTGTAAACTGTGGATTTTAGATGTCCCCATAAAAAGTAATCCATCGGTGTTAGGTCTGGGGAACGTGGTGGCCAGTTTACAGGTGCGTCATTACCTCTGCCTATCCATTTGTGTGGATATTGTTCATTCAAGTGGTTTCTAACGTTTAAAGGAAAATGTGGTGGACCTCCATCTTGCAGAAACCACATATCTCTCCGAAGTTAGAGAGGTAAATCTTCTAACAATTCAGGCAACGTATTTTGTAGAAAATCCAAATAATTTTCTCCAGTTAATCTTCGTGGAAGTATGACAGGACCAACAATAAAATTACCAATTATTCCAGCCGACACATTAATTTTGAATTCGAGCTGAAAATGGTTTACCTTTATTGCATGCGGATTTTCAACGGCATAAACATGTTCATTATGGGTATTAGTTATACCTCTTCTTGTAAAACCCGCTTCATCTGTAAAGAGAACCTTCTTGACAAAGTTTGGATCTCTTTCTCTTTGCATATTAACAAATCGACAAAAACCTAAACGAATTTGAGGATCATGGACTAATAATTCTTGTACTGGCTTCTTATGGTATGGATGTAGCAATTGTTCTCCAAGCACTTTATGAACAATATCTTTACTTACTCCTAGTTCCCTTCCAATTCGTCTGGTGCTTAATTCTGGATCTTCTTCAACAAGTTCTAAAATGTCTTCTTCAACTTCAGAAATCCTTACAAAACGTTCTCTTCCATTATCAACAGTGTTGGGAACAAAGGAACCGGTCTCCCGAAGACGTCTCTCAACAGCAGCAAAAGTTGGGTGCTAGGTACACGACGATTTGGAAACCTTTCATACTACACTCTGACACTCTCTCGAGCATTTAATTCACAAAATCCTAATGTCAGTAACATATCGGTATATTCTGCATTGGTATATTGTACAGCCATATTAATAAACCACGCATTTGTTTTTTTAATTATTGGGTCAGATAGAACACTTTCAATCGTTAACAAGAGATTAGGTGTTAAAACTTGACAATATTTTTATTTAGATGAAACTATGGAAACCAACAATAAATGTTTTTGTATACGTATTGCAGGCAAATAGTTAATATTCCTCAAAAAATCGTACATGGCAAGAATCGAGTATTTTTGTTAAAAGTCTTGATTAGAGGTGTTGAAGAAGATATGAAAAAAGTACATTTTTATGTTTTTCATCGTATAAAATTTTGTCCGATAATAATACATAGGCGTAGAACTTGATTTTTTAAATAATTGCACCTTTAAAAATTCTACGCCAATGGCAAAAGAGGGGTTTGAGTATGAAATTAGGATTAGGTACCCATTTACTATAAAAAAGTACCCTTGATAACATTCGGTTTACTCTCATGGTTTTGACAAAGTTTGTATTTTAATAATTATTGTTTATGTTCTAAAATTACTAAAATGCAAATTTCGTCAAAACCATGAGAGTAATCGAGTCTTATCAAGAGTAAAGTAAATGAGTTGCGCAATCTAAATTTCATACTCAAACTTCTTTTCTTCCATTGACGTAGAATTTTTAAAGGTGCAATTATTTCAAAAATCAAGTTCTACGCCTATGTATTATTATCGGACAAAATTTTAATACCATTTTTTTTGCCACATAAAACTCTACCAATATACCAAATTTCAGCAAAATTGCATATGCCGTTTTAAATTTATATGGGAAAAACGATTTAAAAATTGTAACTTCAAGGCCCTCTGGAGCCCAAACAAAGCAATTTTGTACTAAAGTAATTTTACTTAAATCGACTTATTTTGGTCTAAGGAATATGTGGTATGTTTTTGTAAAGACCTTTTACAGACCTGTATAATAATCAATTACTTATTAAATTATATATTTTTTTTAAATTGATTTAAAGGTTAATCTGCTTCTTAAAGAACAAATGATTTTTTTATTAATCGAATATTTTTTATTAATCGATTATTTTTGAGTTTTCAAAGATTATCGAATAATCTATTTTAAAGAAAATGCGAACCAAAAATAGATTATGTAAAATATTCCATAATTCGTTTATTATTTTTTGGAAACACCGATTTATAAGTTTATCGGTTTTTAATTAATCGATTATTTTCGATTTTTCTAATATAATCGAATAATCAATTTTAAAGGAAAATAAAAAAAAAGTAAATGGTTTGAAAATAATCAATTGATCAAAAATATTCGATTATTTTCAGTGATTGATTTTTTATTTCGATAATCGCCTACCCCTAGTGACCGAATTACTTTTATTAGGTTTATATTTTAAAATATCCGGTTTCAGAAATATGCATTTCTAGAGATTTATGTGACATCCTCTATATTAATTAATATTCCCAAAGAAAGAAGCTTTAATATACCTTTTTCTGAGGTTACTATACAAAACAGCATTTTTTCATTTTGACTTATTTTTAATATTATGTAATAGCCGTAGAAAAAATATAATATTCAACTCACAAGGTTTGATTTGCAGTATTCGCCTGCGCACATGCTGCTATTATAATTATTGTAGACAATGAGTACCATTTCTTGCTCGATTAACAATATTTTATTTCAACATTTTATTGTAGTCCATACAAAATAAAAGCTAATTAAATATTCTATAAAAGAACTATTGTCTTCTCTTTACATAAAATGTCGTTGCATCTGTTTGATATTAGATAATCACGTTAATTTTATTTCATAACACAACATTCCATTAAACACCTTTTTAGAAAATCTAATAGTTCATTATAATGGTAATAAACAAATACTGTCCCTGTCACAGAGTTCGGGTCTACTTCCAGTTCCTCCACTCTGTTAACCTTTCTTTAGAAATTGGAAACACTCGCGCAGGTTAAACACCGGTGTGTGTTACATCTCTGGTCTCTTTTAACTAAGTACATGTCATAAATAAATATTGATTAGACAACTGTCCGTTACGTATACCATTTGCCACTTCAATCAAAGCAACTTTTATTCAGCGCTGTATCCAGTGCTTGCAGCTAACCGTTCCTAAATTAAGCGATGTAAAGACGATTGTATGTGTCAATCGTTCTTTTTTTCACCTGTGAGTTTACCAATGAGCAAACGCATCCATCGGCTTTAAAAGCCGATGGATGAAGGAAGGGCATAGTTAATCAATTTGTTCGAAACATGTGAACACGATTATTTAGATAAAAGGTACTCTACAATATAAGAGTTTAAATATAAAATGGCTACAGAAGAGATAAATTACTGTTAATTTAAATTAAAACTGGTTTAATTTGTAAAGCGATGTCAAACGTCAAACTTTTCATTTGAGAAATGTCGTTCGTTCTTATATTCAACGCAAATACCTTCCACCAGAAATTAATCAGTGACGTCATGACATCAATCACTAATGGAACAATTGTTGAATAATAGAACACACCTTATGGTTAACAGCAATGATTTATTTGTTTAATTTGATATACAATTTTTTTCATTGATAACATGTAACGGAAATTTCATTGCAATTACTATATGACACTGTTCTTCTGGGCGTGCGATGTATTGACACTAACAATATGCCTCTACTCATATTATTTAATAGCTGGGGATAAATGATTTTATTTAGTAGATATTGAAATTTAAATATCCTACTTATATGTTAACTGGATATATTTTTATTGAAAATATGTGTACCCAACGGTCAATCAAAATATTGAACATGCAATCTACGTATAAGTATGTGTAATTCTGAAAACATTGTAAAAATGTTTTACATTACACCATTTTTAAATTTTAGATGCACGTAAAAAATAAGAAATTATTTTCAAATCCGTCTAAAATATGTATTATACATACCTGCTACGACGATTGCGAACAGAGCGATTATTAACCATTCTCCGTAGAACCGAAAAATTAAAACCCTACCAAAGTCAGGTATTATATTGATGGTATATTAAACAAAGTCGATATGAGTTTTCTCTGTTCGCTCTAACAATAGTAGCACTGTATAAATACACAATATAATTTTATGAAAAACCATTTCTTTATCTACAATATTCTTTTTTATTTCAGTTAGCAAAACTGTTTAAATATCTAAATCTTGAGATCCAGTCCACTACTTGTTTTGCGTTTTTTACTATTATTTGGATAATAAGTAGGCTGGTAATATATCCATTTTGGATACTTCAAGAGTAAGTATTAAATATAATAGAACCAATAAATTATAGCGGTGATAAATTTTGTATTTCGTCCAAATTTTATTGAGAAACTGCATTTTGCAAAGTGCTTTCAGCCTTCATCAGTACTTATCTCTACAATAAACTTGTGACTCTGTAATTATTGTAACGTTTTTTATTTTAAATAGTTTATTGTTTAATTTATTTTCACTAAATACACTAATATATTTTACAACTTAATTTATTTATACTCAAACATATCTATACTAATTTACTTTGACAGTTTTTCTTAACACAACAATTTATATACTGTTCTGTTAAGCCAAAAAGTGGTATGGTAGTTGAAGCGAATTTCGAAAGAATACACATTTTTTAAAAGTTCCCTCGAGTCTAAAAAATAATTTATGGATTACTTAAAATTATTTTTTTCTACACCCACATGGATATTAGCTTATCTACGCCAGTGGAGGCTTATCGAAGGAGGCAACGGAGGCTAAGCCTTCCTAACATTATTTAAAATAATTATTAGTAAACTAATAGGTACCTATTTATGTCCACTAAACCCCTGAAATAATCTCGATTTTCAAAAGTAAGTTTAAAAGAACCTATTATTTTACTGAATTTCCCATATAACTGGACATAATTTTGGTTTAGCAACAGCGCAGAAGAGTAGCCTTCAACACAAATCTTATATACTTTGGCCAAAACAACGTTTTATGCGAAATCATTGCAGGCTATCAATATCCCTCTATAGTAGACTACCACAATTGTAGATAATGACTCATGTTGTAAAGAAATTTTATAGGCCAATCAAACTAGACGTTTACCCTGTACAAAAAAAAAGTTATTTTTAATAGTTGTTGATTTTTGAATACCGACAAAAGGAGAAATATTCAGTATTAATTAATAAACAAATTAGTGGGGTATTGCAAAATGTCTTTAATCTGTTACAAATTTACAGAAACCTTCTTATTACACTAAAACCTTTTTTTACTCACTCTTTAAAGACTATACGTTCAGATAGTTTCAAAAAAATTAAGAAGATTGCTTTTTTTTATAAATTTTTTTAATGACTAATTCATTTGTTTATTATTTACCTCCAGAACGATATTATTTTGTTGAAATAATTTTAATAATTTGACTGGTCTATTTTTAAACTGTTTAAACGTCTTCCAAGGGATTAAAAGTTCGAGGTAAAATAAAACGTTGCCAGCGTGTAGTTTGCATCTTTATCTAACAGTAGATAATATTCGAGATCCACACTGTCGTCGCCACTGATTTGTAATATTTTAAAGGATAAGATGTAGGTTATATTAGACATACTAAAAATCCGTTCCAACAAGGAGACCGGAAGTGTAACACTGCTGACCGATTTGGGCAAATTGTAGCGGTATAATTTGACATATCTAACCTATAATTTGATTAGTTCTTCTATTCATTTCGTAGATAATATTTTTCGGGACAATTCACCCATAATTTGATTTTTATGAAAGAAAATATAAACATGAAAACGTGAAGCATATTGTGTCTTGGGAAAAGGTGAAAAAATAAACATTTATATTTCTTGTAATATATTTATTAATGTTAAAAGGATATAAAGTAATAATTTTAAAAGCATTACCAACAGTCTTCGTTTGTGTTTTATCAATGCAGGATAGCTCAAAATGGTCTGAACATAATCGCATTCCTGCACTTACAACATTAAAATTATTCATATACATACTCTTCACCCATTTCCCCAAAAGCTCCAATTCTGTACGAAACCTAAAATAACAAGAACATTATTTAATTTGGTAATATTCGTTATAATTCACTTCAATTTTCTCATTTAATCGAAAAACATTTGTATTCTCGTATGTTTGTATCATAATGTGTAAAATAGTAATTGTTTCAGTTTGTTTCGACAAAACAGTTAGGTCTTTTAACAAATTATTATAAATATAATAGTTTTATTTACCTATGAAGAGTACGGATACTCTTTTTACCTTGTTTCCACAATAAAAACACGACGTCATCGTAACTTCTTGATACAATTAAATGACAAATGAAAATAGAGGTTATGGTAAATAACATCCGGTCCGCATATTCGTATACTGCCGACACGATAGAAACTCGGATCAGTTCGGTATCGAGAATAACAGCCTCTTAAAATCCCGACATGTTAGACTAATACGTCGGCGATTTACGATTACGAGTTATCTATGCATTTATTTATATTGATATATTGTTGTTAGGATAGGTATTGGTGTAATAACGTAAATTAGGTAAATAAGGTAAATTAATTTAAATTCAAAAATATCTTGTATGTTTAGCAAAATTATTTTAACATAAATATTTTTAAATTTAAAAACTCTTTTTTAAGAAAAAGAAAATTTTAATTGCTTCTTTAGGTTTGATTTACTTCCTCCTAAGCCCACATTATTTTTGACACACGTTGCCACCGAATGGAGGTGGAAAGATCGACCCTTATGACAGGAGCGAAGTATCATTTACATAAAAAAAACTATCTAACGAAATGCTATCTTAATTTATTTCAGATTTTTATGGTGGTTACTTTTGGAGATAAGTTGAGAGGACATCAATTTATTTATTTATATTTTTTTTTAAATAACAAGAACTTGTTATACATTTTTAAATTGTATTTTAACGAGCTTTAATTTGAAACCCCACACGATAGAATCATTTTATTCCCAATTTCCAATTTAACTCGCCCAAACTGACCTCCTAGTTTATTTTAAGTTCAAAATCGGAAAAATAAAAAAATTACCCTTTTCCGTTTCGGTAGATTCTATTAAAATGACAATTAATAATGTTTTTCTTTGGCTACAATAAAAAAACCAAAGTTTCCTATGTTTTTTATTACGAAATAAAGTACATTGTGTGACATTTAGGTTTCTAATTTAATTTCCTTTCCTAATAACACAAAGTAGTCATTCCTTAATTGTTTTAATAAAATCATGTGCTCTGCAAGGTCATATATTTGAATAATTATATAAAAGATAGCTCTCATTTTAATTTGATAAACGTCTAATAGCAAACTTATTTCTTTGCTCGTTGAACAATATATGTTTTATTTTGTACGACTGTACGACAAAACTACAATTTCACACTTTTCGGCTAAGAATTAATGTGACATCTACATAATGTGACGTATAATTTCATTTCCTCATATGATAACACAATATTATGCTGCTAGAAAATGAGTACAATTCCTTGCTCGTTAAGCAATATAGTGTTTTTTGTTACCATATCTGCTTTTTTTATTTGTACTTTTATTTAAAAAAAAAAATAGGTTAATTAATTGTTATCATTATCAACAAGAGTCTATGTTATTTTTATTATTTTTAGAACATACTCTCCTAATTTAAAAAAAAATTAAATTAAACTCTCGACGAGAATTTCAAAACATTTATAAACGTTAATTGTAAACTCTAACTAACAGTGACAATGCAGAATCATAAGAATTCTGTAAAATGCCGCCAAACTATTAATGATTTATAACCTAAAGAAACTTACCTAAAATTCATTTTTATCGCTTATTTGTAACCTTATTGTATTTTCTGATGTCTCTTTATAGGGGGTATTAGGTATTATCTTTAAATTCATTTTGAATGTATTAGGTACAAACTTTATTTATTTAAAATCACCTATTATGTCACGAATAATAAATTAAAAATAATTTGCAGAGACTTGCATATATAGACAATAGAAAAGGGAAACTAAAATTGTCTCTATCTTTAATGAGTGAATATTGACATCCAGTGTCCAGTAAATCGCCGACGTATTAGTTCTAACACGTCGGGATTTTACGAGTTTGTCATTCGCGGCATCGAACTGTTCCGAGGGCCTAACGTGTCAGCAGTTTACGAATATGCATCCGGTCCGCCATATTATTTGCTCAAATCGGCCAATTATTCGGAACGTTTTTTTAGGTGGCTATATCCTATTCAGTAAAATAATACAGATCAGTGGTTATTGGCTACAACGCCTTTAAAATTTTCTTGAATGTTATTTTCGAAGCAGTGTCATAGTCGCGCGTATTTCATAAAGCAGAGACAAGAATTGTTTATAATAGAGAGGTAAAGTATAACATAATCTCTTTAATATTAGTGGAAGGATATTTTACGTTTATAAACAAGGGATGAAACAAACGATATTATTACTTCGAAGGCTGAGACTAGAGGAAGAAAAAAATAAAATTGGAAGATATAACCAAACAAGTCATTCGTTTCGAAGAGATGGCAGAAAAATATATTATACAGATGAAATCTGGTTAAATGAAGGACAAAAATTTGGCAGGATTTAAATGTAAAAAACAAACATAAAGCTTTTGTAGATGGTTTATCGACAGATTTAAAAGCCCCATATGGAAAGGAAAAACGCCTTATTATTACCCATATTGGTAGCGACTCAGGATGTGTTAAAGAAGATTTAAACGCATTTGTTTCTAAAAAGACTGGAGATTGTCATGTGGAAATGGATGCAGAGAACATTATGAAAAATGGTTTTCAGATATTCTTTTAAAAATCGAACGAGGATCTGTTATTGTTATGGATAACGCTCCATACCACAGCCGGCGCGGGTTGTAGAACTTTTATTTTTTTTTAGTTTTACACCCTATAGACCTGCCGTGCTACACCCTAGTCCGTCCTTAGTCTGGCAGCACTGCAGCCTGCGGCTTATTGTACCATCATTTGAAGGTTCTACTACTTTCCCATTCACACCCTCATTCCTTCTCATTCATTCCACGTCGTCGATGGTTAAACGCTAGTCAAATGAATCCCATGGTGACACGGTCCATGGTGTAACCTCCCAGAGGTCACCCATCCACTACGTTACCGGAGAGTTCATTGCTTAACTGCGTGTAGATCAGTTACCAACCACCAAATGGAGAAAAGCCCAGATTGCAGAATGGCTTACTAAGAAAAATATTAAATTCAACAAACCAATTTTAAAAATCGAGTTACTAAACTTAGCACGGTGTCATGAAGAAAAATTAGTCAAATATGTATTAGATGTTGAAATATTATTACTATTACTATCATCTCAAAAGACTATTATAGTTTATAACAGGAATATATAAAAAATATACGAGCCCTGTCTCAGTGAATTGGACCCAACTCCACAAAACATGATATTTATGAATTTATCTAAGGACAAATTAAAATTTTGTTCTCCTCCTCCTCCTCCTCCTCCTCCTCCTCCTCCTCCTCCTCCTCCTCCTCCTCCTCCTCCTCCTCCTCCTCCTCCTCCTCCTCCTCCTCCTCCTCCTCCTCCTCCTCCTCCTCCTCCTCCTCCTCCTCCTCCTCCTCCTCCTCCTCCTCCTCCTCCTCCTCCTCCTCCTCCTCCTCCTCCTCCTCCTCCTCCTCCTCCTCCTCCTCCTCCTCCTCCTCCTCCTCCTCCTCCTCCTCCTCCTCCTCCTCCTCCTCCTCCTCCTCCTCCTCCTCCTCCTCCTCCTCCTCCTCCTCCTCCTCCTCCTCCTCCTCCTCCTCCTCCTCCTCCTCCTCCTCCTCCTCCTCCTCCTCCTCCTCCTCCTCCTCCTCCTCCTCCTCCTCCTCCTCCTCCTCCTCCTCCTCCTCCTCCTCCTCCTCCTCCTCCTCCTCCTCCTCCTCCTCCTCCTCCTCCTCCTCCTCCTCCTCCTCCTCCTCCTCCTCCTCCTCCTCCTCCTCCTCCTCCTCCTCCTCCTCCTCCTCCTCCTCCTCCTCCTCCTCCTCCTCCTCCTCCTCCTCCTCCTCCTCCTCCTCCTCCTCCTCCTCCTCCTCCTCCTCCTCCTCCTCCTCCTCCTCCTCCTCCTCCTCCTCCTCCTCCTCCTCCTTCTCCTCCTCCTCCTCCTCCTCCTCCTCCTCCTCCTCCTCCTTCTCCTCCTCCTCCTCCTCCTCCTCCTCCTTCTCCTCCTCCTCCTCCTCCTCCTCCTCCTCCTCCTCCTCCTCCTCCTCCTCCTTGGATGGAATTATTAAAAATACTAAGCAGATGAAAGTTATTTATTTAATCCAAAAAACACATGAAAAATATATTATAAAAAATAAATTACACTAGTTAATAAAAAAGTCATAAGCAAGAAACCAAAAGGAATAAAATGACAAAATAATATTAGAGGAACCGACACAACATACCTAAAATTGTAGATTTTAATTGGGAGTGGGCGAGCATGCTTTACGATTTCATCATCTTCAGTATCATCGAATGACAACTTTCTAGTTGGCACCTGTTTTATTTTTGTAGATACTTTATCAGGAATGTAGATCTGAGGTAACTTTTTTTAATTTGGTACATCACTTATCCAATGAAAAGTCTTAAAGATAGAAAGTAAATTGTGTATCTAGTTGTAAAAACTACCTTCTCAAAGGTATAAATATAGTCTGAGTTTATAATAAAAGTTAATAAAAAAAGATCTTGTATTCTGTGAGATGATAAAAGGTATCTAAGGATCGATTAAACCGTTGTGTTAAATAAAGTTTAAAACGAAATTTTTACATTAACAATGTCATTTTAATCTCTGTTTCATACAACGGTGGAATCGGCCCTTAATCAAGTGACCCCCTACAAATCTTTTATTTTTAAATAAACTATTAAAAAAATACCGAAAGAACTCATAATCAAAAAATTAAAGTATAACATTACTCACCAGTCTTATATTATAGTATATTTCTTTATATAGGTAGCCGAAAGACTTGTTTTTTACGCAGCGTTAACCATTTTCTGCTCACCTGACAACCACCAAACCGTCATCATCCGGTTTTTCAAACTCAACAATGCAATACATCTGTAAAATACCAAATTCGGTTTAATATACTTTATTATTTTCTCACATTCTATTTTTTACCTTTTTCTAAAATATCTTATCAAATAAAGTACAACTTAAAAATGCACCACGTTCACAAGGTCACGACTGTTACTCACGAGAATCATGAAGATGGAGAAAATAGGAAACAACAATGACAATATGACATTGCCAGAAATATACGAAAAAATAACGTTATTATGACGAATTCTAAGTGACGTCTATTCTATGTCATCAATACGACGTCAAGTACACGTTACTAATTAGGATATTGTATTTCGGATTAATTAATACTAAAAAATGACGTCATAATGACGAGTCTGTATTGACGTCTAATTAACATTGCAAAAACGACGTCAAAGTAACTTCAATAATTGGGATAGTGACGTTTCTGACGAGTAAACCCAAAAAATCACGTTATAATGACAACACCTTGCTTCGTGGGTATTGGATCTTTTTTTGTTGCTAGTCTTGTTAACATTTCATTTCCTATAAATAAATGGTATCCATAAAATTAATAACCATATTCTTTTAGCACTTTAATTGACGCTCCCAGTCTAATTCTTATGACACCGAGTACATATTTATTGAACATATTATTATGTTCTATAGCAGTACTAAACATCTTTTGGACGTACCAAATTTTGAGAGTGGTTTGGAAAGCTTTAACGAATCAAGAATTATACGATGAACGATCAGACAGTGAAGAAACAGAAAGTGAAGAAGATTGTAGTGAAAAGACAAAATAAGTTATCTATAATGTTATTTCAATTGTATTTTAATAAAATATAAAGTTTTATAGTTTTGGCACTATCATTTTGGTTCGATTCTTGGTAGTGAACAATGAACCAATGTGTGGAATTTCTATTTTTATTTTTAAGAAATTGATAAATTGTTAGATATAAATATAAATTTCATCAATAATTTTTAAATTCATACCCGTTTTCAAGAAAATATCATTTCACTCGTTGTTTTTAAACAACTTTATAACATTACGTTTCGAGTTTTAAATGCGGAAAAAGATTTATAGTAATTATTGTGAAGGCTTTAACATCAGTAATTAACACCCCAGAAGTCGTTTTTTAGTAATAATTAGTGCCAGACGTCACATCACCTAAATATGACGTCTTAGAGAAGTCATATATATGACGTCAATATTACGTAATTTTACGTCATATATGTCATAATGTGGTCATTTATTTTAAAGTACCAACAAACTTAGTGAATTTATTTTATTTATTTATTTTTTTTTATTTATTTAAGAAAAAGAATAAACATTTTATAATACAAAATCAAATAAATTTACAATGAGAAATTATTCTTAAAATATGCACCTAGATGCAAGAACATCTGTATGTGCAATAGAAATAGATTAAAACTACATAAAATTAACAATTCCTATAAACTAAATATTTGATGATTAAAAGGACATAAATATAAAAGATTAGGTATTTATAACAAATTTGAGAGGTATAAATATTTATCAAATATAAATTTTCTGATCGCTTTACACACTTACTTTATTTCATATCAAAACTTTTTTTCGAGATGAACTTTTATGAAATCCTTGATTTATTTAATTTTTTTTTATTCTTGAATTTTTTTCCCAAAACCAATAGCTTCAGAGAAAAAAATTAACAACCTAATTTATTATTATTTTTTTTTTTTTTTAATAAATTGAGTGGAAAACAGTGTAACGGGCTTGTAACTATCGTATCGTACACTCTGTCATTATACGTTTCTTGCAATAATTTACACCAGTTTACACCAGAAGATAGCACTTAACGAAGCGTTTTAGCCACTAATTTTGGCGAATTTTAAGAAATCATTAACAAGACATTAGAGGCTTAAATTTGGGGATTATATTAAGAATAGTGCTGTCGAGGAATGCATTTATTTTCATTATGATATTTCAAAATTAAAGCCCTTTAATTTTTTTTGGGAAACTGGAAGGAATTAAAACATTAAAATATATGCATATTATAGATATTATTGCCTAATTTATTTTGCCAAAATTTAAATATTTTGAGATATTCTTGTCCGATAATTATAAGGGGTATGAACACCTTAAGATTGAAAGAGAATTAACTTTAATTCATGAGATGCAAAGCATCATAATTGTCGCGTCACAAAAACCACCTGCAGCCAAGAGAAAATTTTGATTCAACAGTATTGTATATTTTGTGTTGTAAAAGAGAAAAAATTAACATTTCGTGTTTTAATAGTTATTTTTTTAATTTAATAATCTATGTGAAAAAAAATTTTTTTAATACAGACTTTAAAAAATTGTTATATTAATATACTTATTTAATTGTACTTATATTTGTTGTTCCTTTAATACAATAAATACAATTTACCTATCTCCAATTCATCACTTTCCGTATCCATATACCTAGGGTCCGATTACAATTAGAAAAAAACCGCTACGTCATAACTATTATTTCGAATTTCCAATATACAGGGTGACCCGAAATTAGACGGTCATATTTTAACAGCGTAATCTACATCCTACAAGTATTAGAAATTAAAAATTAAAAAAAAAACGAATTCAAAAACGTGCAGGTGCCGTCACCCAGAGCTGGGACGAATCCTCGAAAAAATGGATTCGAATCACGAATCCGAATCACGAGATGTGATTCGAATCACGGATCCAATGTTCGAATCCTTTTTCAAAAAAAAAAAAAAAAGGATTCGAATCAAGTGATTCGAATCAAGTGATTCGAATCCTTTTTTTCGGATCACGGATACGAATCACGAATCAGTGTTATACTGTGATAATAATTATATTTGCTCTCGAAACTAATACTGTTTTATACCTCGGTCCTAAAATATTTAACGCACTTCCGGTGGAATTTAAAAACCTAAATTCGATAGGTCTTTATAGATCTAAATTGCAATAATGGATATTAACTAAACAAGGATAAATATTTTAAGATTTTATTAATTTAAATATAACTAAAATCTAAAATCATTTAGCTAAAAAGAACTTACTACTTATTTGAAATTATCCAATTATTTATGTATATGATAATTATTTATAAAATATTCAATGCTGTAGCTAGTTTGTATCTATAATAAATAAAAAAACAAGTATTAGAAATTAAAAATTAAAAAAAAACCGACTTCAAAAATGTGTAGATGCCATCATCACATCTCAACCAAATTTATATGGAACCATCCCTGAGGTACCCCCTTACTAACAAAAAAAGAATCATATGAATCGGACAAGGTGGTAAAGCATTATCGCTAAACATACATAAAAAAATGAAGAGTTTGAGGATTTTGTCATGGACCCAAATATTAGATTTTGACCAAATTTATATGGGACCACCCCTGAAGTACCCCCTTTCTAACAAAAAAAAATCATTAAAATCGAACACCGTGTTAAAGAATTATCGCTGAACATGCATAAAAAAAAATAAACAAAATATTGCGACGAATTGAGAACCTCCCTCCTCCTTTTATGAAGTCGGTTAAAAATAGGAGTAAAAGTTTATGTAAACATAGGTCCGAAAACGTTTCGTTACAAGTGAAGTCCAGATGAAATATTTTCTAAAATTTCTTTAGTTACCGGTTTTTCAAAGAAAAAAAAAATAAAATTTCTAATTCTACAGACCTACTAATTATTGTTTACACTTTCGAATTTAAATTTCACATTTGAATTAACCGCTATATATCGAATTAGTTGAGTGGTCAGTTGCCTTGCCACTAGAAACTTACTTTCATCTCTTTAAAAGGTAAAATGAGCTACTATGTTATGTTGGGAATGAGTTGTTAAAAGATCTATTGTGTCCCAATCTATCGTTAATGCAGCACGAAAATGTCTATAAAAACCCTTCCAAGTTAGGTAAATCTTCCTTTTCTCTTTGATATGCTCTTAGGTATAATGTCCTTGGATTCTAGAGTGCTAAAAATTCAGTCAAAATATGAATGGAGTTTTCTCTCTCCTCCTCACAGAATCTTCAATCACTATCTTCTACTACTCTCCTTGCGAGACTATCTGCAAGTCGTTATCCTGTGCCCCGTTATGTCCCGGGATCTAAGTAAGAGTAACTGTATTTTTTTATCCCAGCTCATTTATTATTTTTAGGCATCTCCAGACCATTTTTAAACCGATTACGTAAGAGCCCAGCGCTTTGATGGCTGCTTGGCTATCGGACATGATGATAATCTCTTGTCTATGATAATTTCTTTCCATGTTAAACTCGATGCTTTGGTTCTTCTCCTTAAGAGGGCTACCAGTGTTGCTTTTGTGGGGTTTATATTCCCACTTCACTGCACCATATTTTGATATGTTCTAGTCCTCTTTGGACTATATCACACAGGATATTTCCAAACTTGTATCTAGCCAATATGATTATGTCATCGGCATAACCTTGACAGGATATGTCGAGGTCAATCAATCTGCATAAAAGTTCGTCTACGGTTAGGCTCCACATTAGTGGGGCTAGAACTTCATCTTGTAGACATCCTCTGGTTGTGGAGATGAAGATGGTGTCCTGCCCTATGTGTGTCTCTGCAGTTCTCGTTGATAGCAGCTGAGTCATCCATCTGGATGTGGTGCTATCTACTCCTTTCCAATGCAAGTCTTTTTTGACCGATTCATGTGGCGTGTTCTCAAATAATTCTTCTATGTCTAGGAAGGCACACATACGACCGTTCCTTTGTTTATCAGTGCATTCTGGATTACGTTAGTCAGCTGTACCAGGGCAGTTTCTGTAGATGTTTCAGCTCAGTACGCGCGTGCTGGCTGTGATGGAGTGGTACCCTCTCAAGAACTTCTATTCTGATATATCAACAGCCTTCTTTATTGTTTTTAATACAAAGGATATGGGGCTGATTGATCGGAAGGAATAAAGGTGACTGGCCCTACTCCATGATTCTGGTATATATCCCAGTACAAGCTTCTCTGGGATATCCAGTTTATGTGTGATAGTAATTTCTTCTGTGTCCGCTGAAGCAGGGAGGAAATATTTTATTCACATCTGGAGACTCCTGGAACGGTTCAAAAGTATTTACGGCCCACTTTAACCGATTGCTGCTGAATATGTGTTTGGCCACGACATCGGCCTCTTTTGGGGGGTCTGCTTATTTTAGTTGTGTCCCTTATTAGAAAAGGTGTGCTCCAAAAAAAGTGAGTGTCGAGTAAGAGGAGAGCTCTTTGCTCCTCATTCTCCGTAAAGCTTCCATTTGGAATTTTCTAAAGTTGTTAATGTTTAGTTTTCCTGATTTCTTTGTTGTAGGTGGTGAGTGCCTCGGTGTAGCTCTGCCAATCTTCGTTGTGCTTGGCCCTATTATAGAGCTTTCACACTTCGGATCGTAAGTTTGACAGATGACGATTCTACCCAATTATTGCTTGATTTAGTTCTTCGAGATCGCTTTTCAGAGTAAGTGAATACCTGGGCCCCTTTTTTGTCTGGATAAAGGCTAAATTTTGTTTTAGAATAATGTTATAATTATCCTGAGGAGCTACTATCTGGAGTGTATTGTGCAGTTACCCGAGCGGCGTCATCGAAGGAGGTTAATGTTAGATCGTAGTGTTGTTGTTTTCGTTTTCTTCTTGTAAAACCGCATGATAAATATATCTCGGGGATATTCTACGTCAGCGAATTTGAAAATTTGTTCCTGTGAAACTGAAGTACATGGTAAATTATAACCTCTTAAAATTAGGCTGGCTTTTAAAGGAATCCACGACACAAACGCTGTTTCACCTTGAGCACATTCGGCCAGAATAGTGGCCTCAATTAAATTTGTATGGTGTTTTAATTTGTAACCAAGTGCCGTTACAGATTCTTGGAGGCTTGAGGTTTCACAGAAGCATTATCGATGCTTCTTTTTTTGTCAGTGAATTCAAAAATCCAACCGGATAGTTCACGATGTGAATCGCCGTATTAAATTACACTATTTCTTTTCCGTCAATTACTTCAGCT